TTTGCCTATAGTTGACCTTAATTAGGGTAAAAGAGGGTGGGGTCTAGTTTGGTATAGGGTTAGTAGTTTCAGGGGTATTTTGGGCACTTAAAATGGGTTAGTTTGTTAGGTTTAGTAATTTCAGAATAAAAGTAAGGGTAGTATAGGTATTCCATAAATAAAAAACAATGCTAGAATTCCCTAGACTCTTCTAAATAGGGCCTTAGTGTAAGTTTCAGCAGTCTTAGTGTAGTAACTTGAGTAACAAGTCAGAAAATAGAGGGCTAAGTGGGTAAAATTGGAAAATAAAAGAGGGACTAAAAGGAAAATTAAAAAATCTGAGGGCTGCCCTCACTTTTGCCTATAAAAGACAGTGGATACTGCCTTGTTGAACAAGTCGACAGACCCTGAAAATTCCTAAAAAGTTTTGAGCCTCCAAAATTCCCCCCAAAATATTCTATATTTTCAAATTCAAAAAACTAGATCTAGATTTTGAAATCTCTCTTAGATCCTAAACTTTTGAGAAAATCAGAAAAAAGAAGAAACAGAAAATTCCAAAAGAAGTACTGTTCCATCGAAAATTCTTTCAGATTGGTTGCAAGTTAGCTATTAATTCTAGTTTCTAATTTCTGAGGTTCAATTGCAAGTGGTCTCGGGTATTAGTCAAGTTGTGTTTGGGTATTTGCTGGTAATAAGCAGTCCTGGGTTGAATTCGAGTCTGCTTGGTCCTAGATTGATCTATTTTCAGTAGCTTGTCACGGTTTATTCTTCTATAAATCATCCTTGGTTTGATGTGGTATTTTGGAGTTGAAATTGATCCACTGCTGTGATTTTGGGTTGTTATTCATTACTGCTATAGCTGACTCCTGTATCTCATCGTCTATTTCAAATCCAGGTACACAATTGTATCTCTGATGACTATGAGCTAGAAATGTGAAGAAATGAATCTGTGTGAAGAATGGAAGCATAAGTTTGATTTAGTTTACTTCCAGATCCTTGCTTATTTATGTATTAATTGGACTGTATTAATTGCTATTTCTCGAGTTTGTGTGAGCTTCATGCGTCGAACATTAGTCGTATTTAATTTTACAGTTGTTTGATAGAATAATTTCATGACTAGCTGTAGTTAATTTCCTGTCTGCTACCTCACGCATCTGTCTAGGAAGTGGCCCAGTAACGAGATAAATTTCCGCCTCATGCTTATATAAATTATTTAGAATTGCTAGAATTGAATCAGTTTAGGCTCAATAACAATGATAGTAGGTGTTAATCCGAAATCGGAGGTTAATCATGGCTGTGTATATAAATCTAGTTCTGCTCGAATTTCATGTCATAAAGTCTATGAATCCACCAGTGTTGCATGAATATGAGTTTGAGATATTCATTATTCACATTCAACATGACTGTATCTTAGTCACCTGTATAAGCGTTCAAACTAGAATAAGCTCGAATTGCATTGCCTATTGAATCTAGTCGTCCACTTAGTTAATTTGAATTATAGTATTTGAGTGATTAGCCATTGCATTTTTTTTTTTCTCTGTGTCATCGGGCCCAAATGCCAAGCCCAGTTGGAAATAAACCACTCCATGGCTGAAGTCCTTCTAGCCGCATGCCTTGGGCCTGACCCCCTCAATAACGGGCCCAGTAGTATAATCAAAATGAGACCATATCTTTGGGGCCCTCCAACGGCATGTTCCAGGCCTATGCTTAAATATCTTTAATCAACTCACATGAATAAGGAAGGCCAATTTATTGAAAACCATCCTTGGGCTGCCTCCATTGATTTTCAGTTAATAATACCAATTAATTAGAGCCTCTTCTTTTATTTTTAGAGACAATTAAATAGAAAATCTTAGTTTGCTTTAGGTTAGCCTTTAAATAATAAATGAGGTGCGCCCCGCCAAACAAAAATGCATAAATTGCGGGGCCCTCTTTAAATGGTTATATTAAGATACTTAGAATTCGGGGCGTGCCGTTTAGCGAATTTCACGGCCTTCCGCAAAGATAATAACGCGTTAGTCTCCTTTGGCGCGTATTTTAATAACATTACATTCCTAATCGGGTGCGCATTTATGTGACCCAAATCCAAATCTCAACGAAGTCGAAATATGTCAACAACCACGGGTGCATTTATGTGACGTGGTTCGAAACACGTTTTCACGACGTTGTAATTCTCGTTAAAAATAATGATAAAGCGGTTCAAGGTTTAAAAGCACGTAAGTTAAAACATGTTTTGAAATCAGATTTTTGCCAAATATAGCAGTTGAGCGACCGTGCTAGAACCACGGAACTCGGGAGTGCCTAACCCCTTCTCCCGGGTTAACAGAATTCCTTACCCGGATTTCTAGTTCGCGACTGTAATACAGAGTCAAACCCTTTCCTCGATTCGGGATTCAAACCGGTGACTTGGGACACCATAATCTCCCAAGTGGCGACTCTGAATCTCTTAATAAACGAATCCCGTTTCGATTGTCCTTTAATTGGAAAAACTCCTTTACGCCCTTTCCAACACCAAACCATAGTCCAGTTTTTTTCTCGATTTGATTCGAATTATCGGGTTGGTACGGTTTGTCTGTTTCCTTTGTACACCCCTGATTAATACACCATCCTCAATACTATTCTTGTACACCCTACTAAACTATCCCTAAGTCTTCATTTATCATATTCAATTGGTCACTTTTTTAACTTTTTAGTTATTTCCAATTTCTCTTTTGGTAATTAGAGTCGGCGAGGTAGGGGTCCTCTTTGGAGTCTCTATCATCCATTGCTTCAAAATTTTGTTTTGTAACTGCTCTTTTGACAAGTCTCACCTCAATTACTCACTGAAAACTGAAAAGCCATTGCTTTGTTAAGGTCAAATAAGATGGGACTACTAATAAAATTTGGGGAAATCAATAATATCAAATCAGTGAACAAAACGTATTGTCAGAGAAGTCCAATGATTAATAACGTGGCACTTGCTCAAAAAATCTTTACCTGCATTATTCGTTTGGAATATCAACAAGTCTTTTCACCATCATTTATCAAGAAGCACACACCGAATATTGGAATAACTTTTTCTCAAACTAGAAAAAGCTAAGGAAAATTTTCAACATACTACAGTTCCTTAGCCCGCAAGAATTCAGAACAATACTTATACATAAAAAAATAAAAATAAAAAGCAGCTCGGTACACAAAACATCTTGTATCCACGCAGGGTTTGCCGGTCCGAGGAAGAGTCGACCCCAAGGAATATGATGTAGACAGCCTAACCTGATGCAAGCAGTAGTGGCTGCTTCTATACGACTCGAACCCCTGACCTATAGGTTACACGAAGACAACTTTACCTTTGCTCCAAAACTCTCCTTCAACTTATACATAACTGATGATTAATTCATGACAGACTAATTGATTTAATTGAAATAGATCTTGGTTACTGGTTCAGATAAATATTTCTTCTCTTATAACTGATGATTATTAACAGACCAATTGATTTAATTGAAATAATTCTTGGTCACTGGTTCAGATAAACATTTCTTCTCCTAAAATTGTTCACTTCTACTCATCAGAAATTCATCGAATATATTTGTGACGCATACTACATGGATTAATTAACTGAATGCACCATTTGTATTCTCTTCTCTTTTTTTTTTTTCTTTTCTAAAATTTACATTTAGATTCGCGTAATAAGATAGGTTCAATGAGTCTAGTAGATCTACTGAGGTTTTTGGTTCCCGAAAGTTTTTTGATTTTTGAAGTTCAAGATACAGAGGTAGATGAGGCTAAACTCGATATTTTCTACATATAAAATAAAAATATATGTTAGAAAATTATTAAGAATTCATAGTAGAACCCTAAAGATTGAACCCCATTAAATTTAAATTTTTTGAATTCACTTCCCCCACAATTTACATCAATAATTGTATTTCCATTTCACGGTTAGTAAACCTATTACCACATTACTTCGTGTCTTCATTGCTTTTTGTTGCTTCAGCTACTCACTAATGAGGTGTCCAAAAGAATTAATAACTCCTCGACGTCCTTTTTATGTTTTAAATAATAATTAATGCACTCATCTTTCTTATAGTTTCTTCAACTAATTAGCCATGGCTAAGCAGTTTTATTGTCTATTCAATTCCCTAGCTTTAACATATACTTGTCATTGACCCACAACTTACTTCTTAATACACTTTAAGTGCTTTTTTGCAGTCATCATCCCATGGATATATCAAAGATTAGGTAATTTGAAACCAATTAGAGATCAGAGTTATTTCTTATCAGTGATGAACCATTTAACTTGTGATGCCAAAGTCCTTTTGTTTAGCTAGTTCAAGTTACTCAAGTGGCCATACTTCAAACAGTATTGTTTAACTCACTACTGGAAAATTCACCTATGGCTACGCATGGAAAACCGTTCCAATAGGTAAGAAAACCGTTGCCATAGATGTATTGCAACGGTTCAGAGCCCGTTCCACAAGCTGTCGTGCCTATAAAGCTTATGGAACGGTTTCTATAACCGTTGCTATAGCACGGTCTATCGCTACGGTTTTCCTTCTACCTATTGGAACGATTATTCTTATCAAATGCAACGGTTAATAACCGTTACCATAACGTTAAATGCAACGGTCGATAACCGTTACTATATCTATTAAACCGGGTATTACAGAAATGGCAACGATTTCTTTAAGATATTGCAACGGTTGAACTACCTATTGCAACGGTTTGTAGATTATTTTGGAACGGTTTGCAGGTCCTATGGCAACGGTTCTCTTACACATTGCAACGGTTGGTAGCTTATTTTGGAACGGTTTTTAGATTATTTGGAACGGTTTACAGGTCCTATGGCAACGGTTGACCTACCTATTGCAACGGTTTGCAGGTCCCATGGCAACGGTTTTGTTAGTTGTAACAATTTAATTGAATTGAAAATAGTACCCCCTGTTGTAAATAAAGAATTTACATATATATACAATAAACTATAAAACACTAAAATTTATATAAATACAAAATGAAACTTTTCATAATCTAAATTGTCCGACAAGTTAATAATAAATCCATAAATAGTGATGAAACCAATAACATACATTTGATATTTCAAGATCAAAAGTTTTAAAATGTTTTGATAACAAACAATCTTAGAAACCACCACATGCATCTACAACAATCTAACAATTCAAAATTCAAAGTAAGGTCTAAATCTTCATCACTGCCTCCGTCTTCCATCTCTTCGTCTACTCCACCTACAAAAGAGATGTGAGAGGTTAAATGTCCCCAACATAAAATTATTTTTGCACCCAAGTAACAGAAACAGAGATAAAAAGCTTTCAACAGAAACACATGAACAAGTGCATATTGTGAGTATCCATTGCATATGTATAACACCTCCTAATGCAAATTCCTGACAAGATGTGAAAATGATGCTTCTTCAAGCTGACCAGTTTGCAGCTTGTCAAAATATTTCAACTAAGCCTTTCCTGCATAATTTAGCAGAAAATTTCGTTGCTTTTAATATGTAGATGAAGAGGCCAAGGCCACAAAACTTAATCCAACTTGCGGAATTTCAAAGTTTTAAGGACTTTATATGACTCTTCCCTATGAGAATACTAAGCTATTTTCTGAACAGCGCTTTTAAAATACCAGTCAAGATGGGGCAAACTTTCATGTTATCATAGACCTCCTCATTTTTATGGTGTTATCCATTTCTACCATAAGTACACAAAGCCTCTTTGAGAAGCAAAAATAAAGTTATCCTTGTTACCTTACGCAGAAGAAGAATACAAACTCCTTATGCTTCCTTGAGTTGGGGTACATTGATCTATGAATAACATGTTGAGGAGACACAATTGTTTCCATTAACATATATGCCTTATTGACCAACAGAACTAAGCTAACATAGTACAGTTATGTACCAACAGAACTCCTGGCAGAACCATCATTGCTTTAAGAAGCCAATACTCCAACAAAAATGAACTTTCAACGGACTGAACAAATGCATTAGCAGTTATGAATAATAGAACATTGACCACAAGTTTATCCAGTCTATCTCTCCAACATAGAGTTGTCTTTATAACTATTATATTTAGTAGAGCAATCAGAGTACAAATTACCATTACCGCCCAGAGTTATTAGACCACTTGAAAGAAGTAATGAAATCCAAATCAACAAAGAAAATAGGGAATGACAGTACTCTTTCGAACTCTTGCGCACTGATAAAGAAAGAGAGCGAGAGAGTGCACAGTGAGAAGCAACATAGAAAAAGAGGAGAAGAAGAGGAAAGAGAAGACGTGTAACATTTGCTACGGACTAACCTTGCGGATGGACGATTGATTGGTTGAATAGCACCTTGTTGTGCAGAAGCAGCTTCGCCATGTGCACGAGCACTGAATATTAGCATGTCAGGATCAAGTCTTAAATCGGGGTTGAGACGTTGAAGTCGTGTAACGACGTTCATCGTAATATCTTGTTCCATAGCATCCTTTTGTGCATTGAGCTCTTCCAGCATTTTTTCCTTTTGTGCATTGAGCTTTTCCAACAATTTTTGTTGCATCCTCTCTTCCATTTCCTCAATTTTTTGTTCCATTCTCTCATCAGTAGTAGCATTTACAGAGGATCCAAAATCTCCTTTTTTCTTTTTTAAGACAGTTCTGTTCACTCCTCGTCCATACAATCTTGCCCGACCTGGGTGCTCAGGTCCCATGACTGATGCAAACGCATCAACTGAATCACTACCATCTCCACTTTCTTGATTTGATTGTATTCTTTCCATTTCAGCCTACAAACCAAATGCAAGAGAATAGAGTATAAGTAAATAAAACTAAGTCGATAATTAAGAACAAATAAATAATCACGATAATCTTTAAACTAGAAATTTCTTACAATTTTACTAATTGTATCCTCATAAGAGCTTTTGTATACTCGACCAGGTTTTCTTTTTCTTGTAGCCACAAAGATATCCTTACTTGATAGAGTATCTGAAGTATCAGCCATTTCCTTCTTTTTTTCCTAGTAACATGAAAACTGGTATAATAATGTTTTCATTCAAAGTTAGCAAGTTCATACTTAAAGAAAAATAAGAGAAAAAAATCAAACCTCAATGATTCGAGCAAAACTTGTTTTGCCAGCAGTGTGTGGATGCATCAACTTTTTTCGATTCTCGATATTGGTTTCAGACGTTTTCTGCAAATAAACAAGCAAAGATTGACATGGCATCTGATACTCTATTCTTCTTATAGTCTTGCCTTCCTAAAGAATGTTTCATATGTGAGCCTACAGGTTGATTGAAACTGACTAAAAGACTTAAATGAACCTTCAGGTGTTATTTTCTTTGTTTGAATATAATACAATGTCTCAACTCTCAAGGAACCTAGTGTGAATATGAGGCTAGGGACTATTGAAACCAACTTGCTTGTTTTAGTGTCTCTGCTGATACTCTTTACTAATCCTACATGAAGCTGTTAATTCATGCTTCTATTAAAAACCAAGATTTAGTCTGTGTATGAACCCCTGACTAACCTACATATAGGTTATAGAGGTTGAGGACTCCTGAAAACTTGAACTGTGTATCTCTTCTATTTATTTAGTTACATGACTCAATTGTAGAAATAACCAGGCAAATGCCCATGGACCAGCTTCTGGTTCATCAAATTCCAGAAGAAACTTATCATGATCGTGACAACACTTGATGCGACCATCTGATTATTAGCAACTTATTGCCAAAGAAGTTGGTTTTGTCAAATGTTACCTAATTGTTCATTAAGTGAACAATCTACCAGCAACCAGAAGAACATAAAGGTAACACGTCCGCCGGGATGATAATGCAAATTGACATAGTCCAACACTACAATAATCGAAGTCAGTTGAACACCTTAAAGTTGAGAATTTGCAAAAGCTACTCAAGGAGCCATATCACAGCTGCTCTACTTTGATGAGCATCCATGAGCATATAAAGCCACTACATGGTGAGGAGCCAATGACCACCAAAAACATGTATGACGCAAGACAGATTACTCTAACTCTGACTCTGAGTAACAAGACAGATTCACAGCTGCAAAGCAACTACAACTAAAGCACTCTCGAAGCTCCAAGATGATTAAACATTGGACACATCTATAGCCCCTAGGCCAGTAAGTTAGAAGTTCACAGACTACATAACAATGGAAATATAGACACCGCATATAAGAGTATTACACCATCAATTTGCTCTAGGTTGTTTAGGCCAGCTGAAAACAGAGTAAAATGGTAGATCTGCTCCTAGTTATGAACGCCTGACTAACCTACATATATGTTATAGAGGTTGAAGACTCCTGAAAACTTGAACTGTGTATCTCTTCTATTTCTTTAGGTACATGACTCAATTGTTTTCAACTACTGAAATAACATGCTGTTATTCTTTTCCCTTAATTGCAATTTGGAGTGCCAGACCTTACTCCACTTCTCACTTCTCGTGGACATATGATTTCACCTTTTTCTTAAAAAAAATTGTCTTAAAGCCAAAGAAATGACAAGAATAACTTGGACTAATTTTCAGTTGCATCCTGATAGTGGAAAGGAATCACTTTGGCTTCACACAGAGTTGGCAAAAGTTTGATGTAATTACCTTGGCGGCATCGGAGTTCCAATAGTCAAGAAGATCTTTAAATTGAGACGCCGGAACATTTTGTGGCCTATTCTCCATTCGAAGCTCGTCATTCTCATATGCATCAAAGTGCTTTTTCTTCAACTGACTTTTATACTTTCTCCAAGCAGTACAAACTGAATCAAAAACCCAATTCTTCGCCTCTTCAGGAATGTCATATTTTTCCTACAAATTTAGTGCAATTGGGTTAATATAAGAAATGTGAAATATCAACGCTTATTGAACATTAGGAACTTCAAACCTTGACATTTTCCAAATATCATTTTTTTTATCTACTTTCCTCCAATCAAATACATTAAGAGGACAAAAGGTCTCATTCCTTCCCAATGTGCCGAGGAAGCTACCCAACTCTTTCACAACTTCATTAGTAGGACCAATGGGTTGATTGAACTCATTTAGCACGATTATTTTACGGTCCTTCCTACCGTGCACACTTTGCATTTGAGTAGGGCCTCTTTTTCTTTTTGGTGCGGAAGGGCCTGCACTAATACAAAACAAGGATAATCACCAATCACCACTGTTAGTTTATTTTATGATTAAATTTATATATACTTGCCTGGTTCCTCAGATTGTTCAATTGCTTCATGATTGGTAGAATCCTCAGATGGTTCATGCACAGCTTGTGATGTAGGAGTGATGGAATTCATTGGTACTTGCCGCACTTGTTCTTGTACTCCTTGTGCTGTAGAAGAGGTAGAAATCAATGGCACTTGCCGCACTTTTTCTTGCATTTGAGATCTTTGCGAAACCTTCTCAGCTTCTGATTGTCTTTCTTCATTTTCATGAAAGGTTCTTTTTGTTGTCAACGATTGATTTCGCAAAAATGCAAGTGATCGAGATTCCGATTGTCTTTCTTCATTTTCATTAAACCTTATAGCTTGAGAGGTTCTCTTTGTTGTCAACGACGAAACCTTTTGGTTTCGCAAAGATGCGAGTGATCCAGCTGGAATGCGGTTGGATATTTTTTTGTTTTTGCTTGAACACCCTTCTTGATTCATGACTATTAAAATCTCTGCCAGATTCAAAAAAGCAAACGCGAAATAGTATAAGATGAGTACATATTACTGAAAAAAGGAGAAGTATGAAAAGAAAAGGTAGAGAGGCAAAACTATGTATGGAAATAGGAAAAAGATAAAAGTTGAAAGAGGAAAAAGGGAACTTACTCTTTCTATTCAGCTTCCTTCTGATTCAACCAATTCTTCACTTTCTCAGCTTCTTTTAAAACCTGCAAACAGGACGCTTGTTAACTGCAAGAGAAATCAAACATGATGAGGAAGATGACGAGGAATATGGTGAAGGAGTTGTTTCCCTAAATGGACACAGTTTTGATAGAGTTTCTCACCAGTGAGTTATTAGCTATGCACCTTAGTCATCTGTTTTATTTTTGTGATGAAATCTTAGTCATCTGTTTTAACTTCATTAATGTTCATCTCTTTATTTTTATTGTCACTCTCTTGACAGGGTCCCAAATTTGGTTGTAAATTTCTTTGCTCCTTGGTGCTATTGGAGCAACAGACTGGTATTTATCTATTTCAACCGAACTGCTACTTTCTTCTCTTTTTGTTTCTGGTTGTAAGCTAAGTTAAACAGAAAGTTGTAGATTTATATGACTTGCTTTAATGCCAAGAGGTGTGGATTTGTTGTCTGAGAGTAGGTTATTGATGTACTGTCTTTCTCATAATGATCTGGGGAACGGGCTAATTTCAGGATTTTGTTTATGAATATGCACTTATTAGTACCTGTACGCTTGTTTTTATCAACATATATAGTGATGTCATAGGAATGCCAGTACTCAGAGGAAGCTCAGGGCGAATTTAGGAATGTACCTGAGGAGAGATTGTGTACTTGGATAGACTAGAAGGGAGTACAGAGGAAGGTGTACTTCAAATTAAGTACGAGCCTCTGTCTCCTGCTGACTAAATGAAGACGAAAAGCAAGAAAGAGAGAAGATTCTAAGCAGTTATCTTGGCAATTGCACTTGTCCAGAGTCTGCGATTTCAAGGATATATAGATAAAATTAGATTACTTAAATAGCCACATGATATTAAGTAACCTCTAAACTCTCATAAGAATCTAATTACATTTCAAGAACCAAAAAAGCAAGCATAAACAACTGCAAAAATTGCTAGACAAATTGCAAAGAAATGCAAACATAAAAACATGTCTAACCAAACATTCCAACAAAAAGTAAGCAAAAGTACAAAACATCATATGTAAAAATCAAAGCTTAACATCCAACTCACCTCCAAAAAACTGAAATCCCACTTCAAATTCAACCCTGGTGTAAAGAGCAATCACCTGGACAAGAAATGCAGAAACGTTCTTTCTCTGATCACCCTGGAGTTGAATAACCTTCAAAAACAACAATAGCACATGACATATTAGTCACAGCACTCAAAAATGACCATGATGTTGTAAGACATTTAACAAATAGATAACAATCTCCCTAAAAAGAAAATGAAACAGATTTAGAAGTGATCGACAACACAAAAAATAATCTTAATATATATAAATGCATTATCACTTACTCTAAAAAGAATATATATAAAAGAATTTCAGAACTTTCTTATTTAATCATCTGCTTCCATCCAGTCCCAATCAGTATCATCAAACCCATCCGATTCTTCCGATTCTAAGATAGAACTTGTTTTGAAAGAAAGAAATATCCATGCAGTTCATGTTAGCTCCATAAAAATAGATCCAAAAATGGGGCAGTTCTGAATCGAAACTTCCGTGACTACAACATAATATACGACTCTTATAATTAGTCGTGCTGATATGAAGAACCTCAAGCACGTCAAACTAGACATATTTTCCAGCACCATTTTTTGTTACACACGAATGATACTTATAAGATCCATCTCATTTTTCTTTTTTTTTTTAAACAACGTGGAAGTAGAACAACTGTAAAAGATTCAAACTCATTTTCGCTATTATCGTGGTGACACTTTCATTAAGGCAAGCTTGAAATTGAACACTACTAATTTTGGCAGAAAAGAAACAAAACAGTACAAATATAGACACTCCATAAAATAGCTACATTCGAGCAAATACAGGAGATCTATCAACCATAGGCATTTCGAAATAAAGCAAAAAAAGAATGTGCTTAAATCTGGAATGGGAAAAACCAATATTGTCACACGAAATCCAGAAAAATGATCGGACAAGTAGTTCAAAGCTTCATGTACACAACCAATTACAGAAGAATAAATCTCTGAAGAAGCCTCGAAATACTTCTTTCAAACAGTAGAAATTACAGAAATTACAGGAATTACAAGCAAACACTTCTTTCAAACACTAGATTGGTGGAAATCTTAGCAATACCATTGCTTTGGCCACAGAATTTTAAACAAAAGCCAAAAATTTAAGCCTTCAACCCAGAAATTTAAACAAAAACAAATTAAAAAATCAACCCAAAAATTTAACAAAGATTCAAGTTGAGCGGCTAAAACCAACCAAGAAATTTAAAGAAAAACAAACTTAAAAAGCTGCTAAAAATTAAAAAAGTTGCTAAGAATATATTTACCGGTTCAGATTTGGAGAAACTATAAAGGATTAGCACGCCGCCTCTGGTGCGGCTGATTATGGAGGAGTTGTGAGCCTAGAAGCGATTTTTCGATCGTCGGAACAGAGGAAATTTTCGATAATGGACGAGCTTGGACGAGATTGTTGATTTTTCGGAGCTTGGTAGTTTCCGATGATTTTTCGGAGCTTCGAAACTCGATCGATCTCCTCAAAATTTCCGATGAAACTGTGGAGGAGGAGCGTAGCCTGGTAATTTCCGATGAAACTGATCGGAGGAGCTTCGTAATTTCCGATTAAAAGAAAAAGGGGATTTTCGGATGGAGCTGGTAATTTAGAATTTGGCATATTTTAGGGTTTAGGTATATATATTTTCGATGAAAACAAGGGGTAAAATTAAAAAAGTATAATAATCAGAGTGTAGGCCCCACCTTATTTTAGCGGGTATTAAAATTTTGGGTGGAAAATAAGGAGGGAACTAAAATGTCCGTAACAATACATCCAACCGTTACAATTGATATATCTATTGCTACGGTTATACAAACCGTTGCCATATAAACATATATTGGAACGGTTATGGATACTATTGCAACGGTTGAGTTGCTAAGTGTCCCGGTAGTTCCAGCAATTGTTTGTAACGGTTATAACCGTAACAATAGACTGCCTATCGCAACGGTTATGGATCCGTAGCAATAAAAAGCGTTGCCATAGGTCCAATTTCTAGTAGTGACTCCACGGCCGCATGCATGGTCATTTATAAAATACAAAAAATAATATAATATAATATATACAAGATAGGATGTCAAATCATTAATCGATATTATAATTTAACTTTCTTCTTTATATAGGTCCATCGTTCGAGCCTTTTTATCATCCACTAATATTTGTATTAGGGTACGGGTGCGATTCTTCTCCGAACTCTGCGTAAATGCAGAAAGCTTTGTATGCTGAATTTCCCTTATTTTTTCTTCATAAAAGATTATTTTCCTTGAAAATATCCTTGCCAAGGACAGGTTTATGAGATTTATGGATTTGGAAAACCAGGACGCAAATGGTCATTTTAAAATTGTTATCCTTTCAATGTTGCAAAAAGATTGGGTTAACTGGTAACCAAAATATAAAAGATTTAAGCATAAATTGTGGAATGGGATTGAGTCCGATGGAATTGTCAAGGATAAGAAAAAAGAAATAAAGAAAAAAGTGAAGTGGGAAACGAAATGATTACAAGAAGCATGATTGATTAATAAAAACACAAAAAAAAAGGGAGTGGATAAAAAAGGGTTAATTATAGCAATCAGTTAAATTTTGGCCAAAATTAATCCCTAGAGATATGTTATCAACTTTTTAATCTCGTAGGACCCTTGTCTTTCCAATTAGTGAAGGTCATCCTTTCGAGGCAAACAAATTTAATTTCTTCTAACTAAATTAAACTGTGTAGACATTTTTTTACTGCTACTTTACCTAATTCGCAATCAGTCTCTTATCATTGCAGCCGAAAGGCTTGACCAAAATGCTCAAAGTGCTGCTCATTTCCTAGCATTTTTAGATACGGTTAGCTTAAATTCAGGGTAATTATGATCCCAACCTTTTGCTTTTCAAGTATTCTTTTTCGTTATGTGTTGTATGAATAAGTCATATTTTAAGAAATATATTATATGAAGAAGTTGTTTTCTGGTGTTTGGTTACTTCCTCCGTTGCATAATAAGTGACCAATTTACTTTTTTATTTTGGTCCAAAATAAATGTACATTTATATAATCAAGAAAAAAATTAATTTATTTTTCCAAAATTAGTACGTATCCCTAAAAAGTCATTTACTCCTGACATTTGAGAAGAGAAGAAAGTGCTACTATAACAATGCTACAACATTTAATTAAGGGTAGTTTAGTCACACTAACTATTTTTGTCTAGAATTTAGTACTCCCTCCGTTCACTTTTACTTGGCATGTATACTAAAAATAGATTTTCATTTTGACTTATCACTTTACGCATATCAAGAGAAGACAAAAATTTTTTCCTGTTATACCCACAGTATTTATTATTCATTTCAAATCATTTTCTCAAATCCAATAAAATATGCATCAATTAATATGTGTATCATGGTAAATTATGCACTTCATTTATTATTTCTTAAGGGGCGTGAAAAGTCAAAACGTGCCAAGTAAAAGTGAACGGAGGGAGTATTTCCTTAGTGGGTACGTCCAAAGCAAATTGGTCACTTATTGTGGACCGAGGGAGTACTATATAAATGTTTTTAGGAAAAATAATATTTTTCATCGAAACAAAATATTAGTAAGTGACTTCTCTCACTAGTGGACATAAATCATTTTTTGGGCAATAACATCAATTAAAAATAATTGCCGTCTTCAACTAATAACACTTGAACATTATTACTAATCCATAATACTTAAAATTTTCGTAAAAAAGCTCTACAATTTTCTAATGTTATATTTGATCTTACTATATATTTCAAAAAATGCTTTTTATTCACCAACCAATTAATTACCAAAATTACTTTTTATTAAAAAATAATTTCAGTCTTAGCAAATACACTTACATTATTTTCAATATTCTTGAAATAGGATAGCAATCCCAAAAGATCCATCTTACAAGTTCCATAGGCTACTTTCCAAGCCGCCTAGACCTATACTTTACTAGTACTATTTGTTTCTAGTTTTTCTTGAAATTGCTTCAAGTCGTTTGTGTTAGTGTCAAATAGCTATATACTATGTTTCATGTAAGTTATTAACACATGCATATAGGATAAGAGTATTAAATAAGAACTTCTTAATTTAGGGTTTTAAATTTTTTGCACCTATACTATTAAATTGTAGTAATGCACGTGAACTCATTGTCAATAAATTAAGATCATTCAATTACACAATTCGAGTTAAAAGCAGTGAACGTCTCTACAATCTTGCAAACCCTTAAAACTTAATCCGTCAAGTACTCGTAAGAGCTAGAATATCTAACTGCAATCACATTTTGCTCTTGAATATCATAAATTAAAAGCAAAACATGAAAAAGCAGGGTGGTAATTGAACAAGATAAAAGGCAAAAGTTGTAAGAATCACATTAAGCTTGGCCGAGTTATTCTTTTGGTACCTAAAAGAAGAATCTCATTAATTGTGGGTTACGTACTTTCCAGCAGATTTACATATGGTACGAGTAGTGGTGGCAAAATGGATTAAAAAAAAGTTATTCATTCATATTATCCATCAAAAAATGGGTTGGATAATGAACTTTTTAAAAACGGGTCAAATATGGATGAGAATTATATTATCCGGTTAGAAAATTGATAACCAATAGATAATTAATGAGTTTAACTTTTACATTCGTAAAGGGGATCCTTCAAACTTGGAAAACTAGGAATTCTCATAAAAAATGATCATATTCAAAAAGCTATAGATAATATGGTTACCCATATTATCCACCAGTTAAACCATTTTTATCTTTGTTAAATATGAGTCGGATCGAATAATTTATTCGTTTTTACCTCACTGTTTTTTACCCGCCCATATTCGATCCGACCTGCCTTTTTGTCACCCCTGGATATGAGTAACAACTAACACTTTCTAATATATGTTAGAGATCCACAATATCCATGAAAAATTTACTCTTATCCATGGCAGAAGCATAGATCTCTTTGTCATCTTTTTAGACCAAGAAAGTTGTGTAGAAATATGAATAGTTTCACCAGAAAGACAAAAGATCATGAGGAAAAGCAAAAATTAGATGGTGACAAACTATTCTTTGAAAATTCAATTGGAAAGACAACAAGAATCGGGTGCAACCCCACCCCTTTCTGCTTTTCCTAAAGTTGGATGTAGTGGGACTATTTGTATAGGTCAAAATCTGAACAGAAGGATCTTACTTAAGGACGGCCGATGGGGAGTTGATAACTGTGATTTTAACACGTTTTATGCTCATACTTGCCTATGCTTTATGTATGAATTGTCATAAAATAGACCCAGAATGCTTACAAAGTGCGCTTGATTGCAGGTTTGAGCGACAAGATGACAAAAGTCAAAAATCGGCACGAAACGGAGTGAAACCTGCTCAAGTGTCAAAAATCATTGAAGTAGGGACAAAAGGACCTAGCGCGGATCGCATTGATTTGCTGCGCGGCTGCGCTAGGAGATTCAGAGAGCATCCATTTCAGGGGTTTCCATGCGCGGTCAGCGCTCTTTTCTACGCGGTCAGCGCTGGTGTCCACGCGGTCGCGCTTCATTGTTGTGCGGTCCGCGCCCATTAGCCTGCGCGGCCGCGCTACCTCTTTGTGCGGTCCGCGTCCCCAGCTTCAGAAGTGAATGATCGAAGGGCAAGACCCCTACGCGGCCACGCTGCATTTCTACGCGGTCCGCGCCAGCCCGCAAGGGTATTTTTGTCCAGTTTTTCTAGCCAAGTATAAATAGAATATTTTATTATTTCTAGGTTAAGTTTTAGATATCAGATAGCAGCAGCACTCGTGAGACTCAAGTCTTAGCCTATTTTGGGCATTTTCATCTTGTTTTATCGTGGATTCTTGTAGATTAACATTCTAGTTAATTAATATGTTAATTTTATCTACTACTTCTTCAATTTCTGTTGCTATTATGGCTAGCTAAACCCATTAGCTAGGGTTGTGGCTCAACCCTAGTGTGAGTAATTAATGGGTGTGATTGTTTAATGCTTGAATGATATTGGGTGTTTGATATTTGGGTTAATTTTATGTTTTAACTAGGATTTGGTGGTTGCAAACACTAAGTCTAGCTTAGTGGGTCTTGACTCTTCTTGAGAAAGAGTGTCTATGACTCCAAAATTAACCCAACAAGGAATTGGGATGGACCCATGAGAATGGTAGTCCCAATTAACGGGTAAAACCTCGAGAGAGTAATTACCCAACTTGAACCCTAAGTTGCCTGGGCTTGTTAGCCTACCCAATTGGTCTCGAGAGAGTCAATTGGGCAAAATCACTCTTTCTACCGAGAGGTGTGAGAGTGAGTGCAATCGTGCAACGGTTATAGCATAAGCCCCATAATCATCATTCTTGTATTAGGAATCTCTACCCGTTAGTTGACCACCTAGGTAAATGCCACGACCCTAGTGTCTTTCTCTATCTTACATACAACCTAGAATTACTATCTTAGCATAATTTAGTTATAATTAGTAGTTGTTAAATTGTAGTTGATAATCATAAAAACCCAAAAATGATAGAAGATCAATTAGAAGCAAACACGCATTTCTAGGCTAAGCAAATATCCAACTCCCTTTCTAGCTCCCTGTGGAAATTGACCCCGATACCACTATTGGGCAAAAGTATTAGCGCCCACTCTTCCTAAGGTTGAGTCCGCTGCGC